TGCAGGCGATTTCATGCAATGCAAGCCTGTTATCGGGTACAGCCTTTATTAATGTTTCTTCCACACATCTTAAGCAGTTAACTGGCCACTTCATCACTACAACTGATGAAAATTCTGTTCAACCAGCAGTGAAATGCATAAAATGTCCTGGTCATGGACCACTGTAAAATTGAAAAAGACATTTTCAATGATTGTACTGTCGTGGGTCTTCTGCAATGCATCTTGAAGAAATTGGTGAACATTTTGGTCTGATAATTTAACCCTTAAGAACTCAGTAACCTACCATAAAGCATGTGAACCTAGGTCTAAGCTTTTTAAGAAACTGGAGTCAAACATGGAAGGACTCAAATATTGACAAAACCTATTTTAAAAGGCAGAGGATGATTTGTATTTAGCAAATCAGTGGCAGATACAATTTCACGTAGGCTACCATAAAGAACTTCACAAATTAAGAAAATAAGTAATAATTACAGAAATGTTTTACTTCACACAAAGAAATGATAGAATAGACAGGATCCTACAATAAAAAAGGAAGCCATTGGCTCCAGTGCGACTGTGCCGGCCTAATCCAATTAGTGTCATTTGCCTGTTTTTTTTCTTATAACGCAGCAAATGCCTTCTTCTCAAGTATACATTCAGTTGTGTCTTTTGAAAGTTCTGGTGAATCTGCTTCAACTAGCCTTTCAAGCAGCGCACTCCTGCGTAAAAAGATGTTCTCATCTCACTGTTGGTTCTTTTGCCAGTTATCTAAATCTGTTCTTTCATTACAAACATTCCTACCAGTGAAACAATTTCTCATTATTCTCTCCATCAGAGTTTAGACTGTGTATGGAAGTTAAATGTCCTCTCATTATTCAAGCAACAGTTTAGTATTTTAACAGTGGCAACTGTGGGGTCTTACTGGAAGTGAATTAATGGATCAGTTTTGCACAATTACTTTTCAGCAAAAGAGAACAGAGAATTCATTCTTAGTTTACACTGCATAAATTACGCTGTTACCATCATCCAACCCTATTTGGCTTTTAAATCTTCAAGAATTGCAGGTAGACAGGGTAGCGAAGGCAGCATTTGGTAAGCTTGCCTTCATTGATCAATGCATTGAGTATAGAGTTGGGATGTCACGTGGAGGCTGTACAGCACACTGGCTAGGCCACTTTTTGGAATACTGCATTCAATTCTGGTCTCTGTGCTGTAGGAAAGACGTTGAAAAACTTGAAAGGGTTCAGAAAAGATGTATGAGGATGTTGCCAGGGTGAGAGGGTTTGAGCTATAGGGAGAGGCTGAATAGGCTGGGCCTATTTTCCCTGGACAGTCAGAGGCTGAGGGGTGACCTTATAGAAGTTTATCAAATCATGAGGGGCATGGATCGGGTAAATAGACAAGGTCTTTTCTCCAGGGGAGGGGAGTCCAAAACTAGAGGAAATTGGTTTAAAACGAGAGGGTAAAGATTTGAAAGGGACTTAAAGGGCAACTTTTTCATGCAGAGGGTGGTGCACATATGGAATGAACTGCCAGAGGAAGTGGTGGAAGCTGGTATAAATATAATATTTAAAAGGCATCTGGATTAGTACATGACAAAAAGGGTTTAGAGGGATATGGGCCAAATCTTGGCAAATGGGACCAAATTGATTTAGGATATCTGACTGGCATGGACAAGTTGGACCAAAGCATCTATTTCCGTGCTGTACATTTCTATGACTTACCTCGCATACGGCTATCAACTTTTTTGCAGTCACAGCACACTACCATCCCTGCTATGACTGTTTAACCATATCCATTTAATTAGTCAATTTGTTATTAAAATACACAGATAAAACAATAATAAACCTCTTAGTGTCAACAGCATTGGAGGTAGTAACTCCAATGACTAATATTTTTGATTTGATCAAGGGAATCAATTCAACCTAGTTTAATTGGGCTTAGTTGCACAACACTTTCTAAGGGAGAAAGTTATTATGGCTCAGGTTAAAAGTAAGGTCATGAGTTCATGGCTTTATGGCTCAAGCTAATATAAATTAGGCTAACTAGTAGCAGAAATTGCTGGAGAAACTCAGCAGGACTGGCAGCAACTGTGGGAAGAAAGCACTGTTTTTGTTTTTCTTGTAACCAAAGTTCTTAGTTTTACTTTAACAAATATGAATTGTTCATGCAATGATAAGCCAATGAGGATTTGGGATAACTGGTTATGCACAGGGGGAAGTGACAAGCAAGGGTTAATAAGTGGTGATTCTTATCCTTTTGGTGTACATAATGGAAACTATCAGTCAACAGAAGAGATACCTACACACCATCAACCAGTGTCGCAAACTGAAGACTTTCTATAATGCTTGTGAAAACTTATCTATATTTGCTATAAGTCTTGTAACAGAGCTAGCAAATATTTAAATCGATACTCAAATTCCATCGGCAATTCAAATGTAAGGCAGAAGTCAATTACAATTTGAAGTGAACGTAATCTTACACTACCTTGTCTCTCTGCACCAAATTCCCAATTGAGCCAACCTCCCGACTCATTGCAGATCTCACTATAAGCTCCTACTTTGACATTTGACAGCTCTTTATGGCCAAGTGACACTCATGTTCTGTGTTCAAATCAGGTATTGAAGACATTAGCAAAGGCCTTTTGATTAAACTGTGATTACATTCAGCATAGTAATAACTCCAAACTTCTGCCAACAAGATATCAAATTCCTGTTTGCTTGTTGCTGAGTAATTACTAACAAAGAAACAGTGAAGAGAAAGTATTACACTCAGATGATTGGAAACTAATTACTTTTCAGATTTACTCCTCTTACATTATTTGGCTTTCCAAAGCATGAATTGAAGCTAATTTTTCCAAGTTTTGTCTAAATTCACCTGAAGCAGTGATTTATTCGCACTTCATAGAAAGCCATTGGCAGGGATTCTATGGAACTCCAGTTTGTACCTCCTGGGAAAGTGAAAGCTTCACCTTCTGCACAATGATCTATTAAGTATAGCATGATTACAGTCAATTTGCCATCATAAACTGCTTTAATTTTAATGTTTGATGAGAAAATGTATGTCATTATGAAAAAAATCTAGTCACGATACAATCCAGATTTCATTCAGATCTATAACATGGCTTCATGCTGCCTTCAATCTGTCATAAAAAGTTTTATATGGAAGACAACCATTTAACAACAGGAAAGGATGGTTTGAAAATAAAATTATTTTTCAAGGGTACAAATATTTAATAAATATTGAGAATAGCATATCAATCACAAACTGGCAAAGGATTTACTTGAAAAGAATGAATTTGTTGATGTTTACCAAACCTCCTGAAGTTGCAAAAAGCATGCAGTATTTTGTGTTTTCGAGCTAAGAAAGTATTTTCTATTGGTCTGAAGCAGCAAATCACTTGCTTTGAAAAGTCTTTCTTGAACAGAACCCATTCTTAAAACAAATTAAGTGAAAATCAAACAGCTCCACCAACCTCAATTTAGTCAGTATGAGAACACGTTGCAGGCTATGCGATCAAATTTCACATTTATTCAGTTACAGCTACTCTCTTTTTGTTCATGGGATGAGGGTGGCACTGGTGAGAAGAGTATTTACTGCCCATCATTAACTGCCCCTGAGAAGTGATGGTGAGCTGTTTTCTTAAATAGCCGAGATCCATGGCAGCTGGTAAAATGCTGGCAAGAAGGGAATTCCAGGAATTTGACCCAGTGACAGTGAGTAAACAGCAATGTAGTTCCGAATGAGTATCAGGTGTGATTTGGAGCAGAATTTGCAAACGATGGTACTCCAGTACACTTGCTGTCCTTGAATTTCTGGATGGTCAAGATTCCAAGTTTGGTTGGTGACAGCTGAATCTAACAGCTGAATGGAAGTAGTCCAATTTACTTATGTCTCATTTGAAAAGTTATCACTTTAAAAAAAAAACAAACACAGACTTGTATACTGTACACAGGTGATGCTCATTTAAACCTCCAATTTTTACTGTAAAAATTTACTTTGAAATTTAAACTATTTGATGCCGAGTCTTTATGAAAGATCAAATGGAGATTTTGAAGTGCTTTTCTATGGAAGTAGTTTTCTATTGGCTTCAAAATTAAAGGCAATTTAGTACCAAATGAGCAAGTGTTTTGATTACAATGGTTTGAGATTATTCGGAAAGCTTGTGACAAACTGGACACCTATCAGAAGGCAAATCGGTTTCATTAATTAACTTATTTATTTTCATTTCCAAAGTTCTTAACACTACTGACATACGCTCAGTTATTATGTCAGATAATTCAGCCGATGAGCAATTCCATTCATTTACTGCACCAAATATCTGGAGACTATCTTTCAATGGGATGTATTATCTGAACTAAAGCAATTAATTAAAGCTAGCCACAGAACCATGGAAATTAACATTTTATGCAAGTTTTTGTTTGAAAAAGGACAAGAGAAGCAACTTCACAGTTCCCTGCCAGCATCCACAACACAATCCAAAACTATCTTATGAAATTATCATGCATTTGAATTTATTAAAGATGGCACAGTATTTTCCAGAGTATACAATTACTTAGATTCATTGCACAAACGATTTCAGCATTCAATATGGGTCTCGGATGCACAATGGCACAAATCTAAGTGCCAAAGGACATCTCTAAACTGTCAATGTGACTGCCTGCAGAATTAAAACAGTCGTTGAATTAACTGCAAACTAAATACTGACTGGTTTCTTTGTGGAGCCATTACTCTTCCAACCAAAATTGCCATTGAAGTTTGATTATACTGCTATAATAAAAAGTAATGAAACTTGCTCATGCTCTGACAGCTCCCCTTAAATGACACACTATACTGATCTTGGAAAGGGCACAACGTTCTAAATTGATTGAGGTTGGCACTTCATCTCCAAAAGGCCACCACACTGTCACGGTGTGTACTAACTTGATGTCAACCATTAAATCTATATGTTTTTTGTTAAACCAGACAGTGTTAACACATTGTTGTTCTGCTTAATGAGTTCAAGAAAGCTACAGACTTACCATCGATCCGGCTAACAAGTTCCTGCAACACTTTTACTTTCCTCTGAATCCCCGGTTGTGCAAAAGTGTAGTTGTCCTGGAAGACAAAATTTTCAATAAGTGGCACGATTTACTTGCACTTACTTGAAATCAACACAGACAATCGTTTTCAAACACAACAAAAGCTTGCATTTCTCTAGTTTTTGTCACATGGAAGACCATTCAAAGAACTTGACAATGGAAAAAAAAACTATCGATCAGGAAATGTAAAAACAAGTCCAAAATAAGGTCACAATTTCAAATTATTTTTTCCCTGAAGAAAGAGACAGTAATGTAAAGGAGAACCAGTTTTTAAAGATTTTCATATTGTCATGACAACGATACAATACGGACAACCAATTTTCAATTTTGATCATCTGATCTTAATACCAGAAATCTTTCATGGTCTAAAATAATTTTAAACTGACAAATACTGATCTAAAATGGATGCAATCACCAGACCACCAATGAGGAAAGCTCCAGGAACAAATGTGGAATAAAAAATAACATTTGAGTTGAAATTACCATTCTGTCCAAAGACACTAACAGCAGTGAGTCAACCAAGTCAGGTGTCAAGAAACTGGCATCTCTTATTTCAATTTGAACGTGCCTCCTAAATTACACAGATTGGGCACCATTCCTTGCAGAGTATGGAGACGTCAGGACCAGGCTATTTCAACAGAGACTTTGGACCAAAAGAGACAAAGTAATATAGATTGCTAATATCAAGAACTGGAATCTCTTTCAATCCCTGTTTTCTCATCAGCATTTTGAAAAACAGTGCCCAGTGACAAAGCAAATGGGAGAAATAACAACTTTCAGAGAACTTAAGGATAACAACAGATTTCTAGGAAACAACTGTGATCTGGCAAAGTCTAACATCCTGAAGACTCTAAGGATGTCTGAACTGTACAGTTTTCATTGTTCCCATCTACACTAAACATGCTCTGCTTTGTTAAAACTTCATACTTGAGGTGAATGTCACATATCGTTTTTCTCAGTATTTTAAAGTAATAAAATTCCTTTTTCTTTCAGACAAGAAAATCTTGTAATTGGCTCCTTAACTTTAATTAGTTCTGCATTTTACTAAATATGATATTCGCACGCTGAAAATCGACCAAGGGTGATGCATATATGGAATAAACTGCCAGAGGAAATAGTGAAAGCTGGTAGAAATACAATATTTAAAAGGCATCTGGATCAGTATATGATAGGAAGGGTTGAGAGAGATATGGGCCAAATCCTCCTCCTCAGCTGATTATAACAATACCTGCGACAAAGTAGGAGGAAGAAAAAATGAACAGGAACTGAATGATGCTTATGTATTTGTGTACATGCTGCTCACTGAAGACAATCTAACAAAACATTCATCAAATAAAAATCACTACTCAAAATAAATTAAGAACACCTTAAGATTTTTCAGAAAAATTGATCTAAAGCTGATAAGGTATATGATCATGATTACCACCCTGACATCATCAAATCAGACAACAGGGTGGTCAGAAATAGATGCTAGGTCAACTTTCCTTATACTTTGGCAGACTTGCTTCCAAGTTGAAAATTTATAACAAGTGCGCTAACAGGTCCCAATCTGCTGAATGTATACAAAGGGATAAAATCATTTGGAACTCTGCAGTTAATTTAAAGACACATTACCTGCAGGAGTTGAAAAGCACTCACTGACCCAGCTGAAATTGCAACTGAAAGCAACTGATCCAATAGGGCATAAACATGCCATATCACTTCCAAGAATGCTTATGGTAATAGGTATGGTTTTGACTTATTAACGATATCTGCTTATGTGCAAAAATTATTCAAACTGCGTTTCCTTAGACCGTACATGGATCCCACACAGGGGAAACAGTTCATCAGTATGTCTCAATCAATAACTCTGATTTCCCAGTCACAGCAGCAGCACTCACTATTAACCTCGAGAAAACTGCCAACAAGGTCTAGTTATTTCTTTGGCATGGACACCCCCCTTCCTGATTTTAGCTTGAATCTCATCTTTACTCATGGGGGTTGCCAAGCATCCATCAACAGTTAAAGTCATTAACAAGGGTAAGAAAAATTCTCAACAATATCTTTGTATGGTGATAATGTATTCTGTCATGGACATGAACACACGGTTTTGATTAGGTCATTCGGATTCGACAGAGAAATGCCAAGGAAACAGGAGAGATGAAATATTAATGTGATTTATGAAGCAAAGAACTCATGCATGAAATATAGTCAATATGTCCGTGTTTCATCCATTATGAGTGGTAAGATGTGAAAGTTATAATTATGCAGAATTGTAATATCATATCTGCATAATCAAGTCCCATATTACAGTATGAATAAAGCAAAAGTTGAGTTAATATTGCCTTGCACTGCTTTTACAGCATGTGACAAAAACATCAATGGCAATAATCTTAGTACCTACAGATTAAGAACAAACATCTGATGTTGTCCATCCAGCTGTATAATAAGCATTTTTAGTAATTATTATCCATGCCAAGAACTCACCTTGATGATTACAGTTAAATACAGAACCTGAATTTAAGTGCATAGACAACTTGTACTTATTAATATAAATAAAATCATTAAGTTTGCAATTTGAATATCCAAATCTATTTCATTTAGATTACTCTATTTGTTGATCTTGTGTGGTTCCACAACTGTAACAACAAACTGCTACTCAACACATCACTGTCTAAATATAATAAATCACTGAGGTACAGAGGTTTAACTAGGCATAAAAAGACAAAACACTCCACAATCTCTTCAACCTTCCAACTCATTGAATTCCTTATCAGCACAGGCTGGTTCGAACGTGAAAGGTTGAAGGAATGTTGAATAATTCTCATCCACTTATAGATTTTTTTTTAACTTTTTTTTAGTTCAACAGCTTAAACAATGGATTAAAAACAACAAATTTCAGGTTGTCTACATCAAATGCCATGAAATATTCTGCATTTGAAAATGCTATCAAAATGACATGCCCAAACGTTCTGGCAACAAGAATACCATAAGCCTTAAATATACAGTCGCAAATTATGTATGTTCAATGCTTCTTGTGGGAAGTATGAATTCTTAAATTTTAGCTTGTGTTACTTATTGCTTATGTGCAATCTACTCACTACAAAGCAATGTATAAAAATGTACATCAAGTTACTGTATTAATGGCTGACATAATGGTGCTGGATTGGCCCAAATGGGAACAGAATGTTAGGCCTCAAGAAGTATTTGCATTGTTCAAATTTGGAAATTAAAAGATAATTGATTCCTTGGAATAAACAGTAATACTACTAGAAACATAAATGTAAATATTTTGAGGCTAACTAGACTAGGGCTATTTTCCCTGGAACATTGGAGGCTGAGGGGTGACCTTACAGAGATTGATTAAATCATAAGGGGCATGGATAGGATAAATAGACAAGGTATTTTCCCCAGGGTGCAGGCATCCAAAACGAGATGGCATAGGTTTAAGGAGGGAAAGGAAAGATTTAAAAGGGACCTAAGGGGCAACTTTTTCATGCAGAGGGTGGTGCAGGTATGGAACGAGCTACCAGAGGAAGTGGTTGGGGGCGGGTACAATTATAACATTTAAAAAGCATCTGGATGGGTATTTGAATAGAAAGGGTTTAGAGGGATATGGGCCAAATGTTAGCAAATGGGACGAGATTTATTTAGGATATCTGGTTAGCATGGACGAGTTGGACCAAAGGGTCTGTTTCTGTGCCGTACATCACCATGACTCTATTCCAGCAAACACATCAAATAGTACAAGAAAATCATCCAGCAATTCCTAGGTGCAATCAAATATGTAAAAGACATGTAAAACTTAAAAGCAAAATGAACAAATTTGTAATCACAGAAAGAGACAGAGGCAAAAAGATGGCTCCTACAAGAATTGGCTCTGAAGATCTATCATCATTAAAGCCAATCAAAACACAAACTAGAATCACAAGTAACATAGTGGAGCAAAGATACAAAAATCAGTAGCAACCCACTGCTTTAGGCATTACCATTACCTGACTTTTGCAAGAAAAGCCACTGAGCATCAGTTTAATTACAAAAAGTTCAATAAGTTGTACCTAGCTCTATCACAAATGTTTTAATGGATCACAAGTCCCTCGATTATTTTATTTGTAATATCCTTAAATATTTGTCCTTTGCAAGTACAAAAAAACTGCATAAAAACATTTGGAAAATTGACATACAACAACGATGCACAAAAAAGGGAGTGGATCAGAGTGCAAAACACTGAAGCAGATAATTACAAGAAGCTATCTAAGATTACAAAGAGATCTAGATCAATTGGGTCAATGGGCTGAAGATTGGCAGATGGAGTTTAATTTGGATAACTATGAGGTATTGCATTTTGGTAAAACAAACAAAGACAAGATTTATACAATTAAAAGTAGGACCTAGAGGTTCCGATACGCAATTCTTTCAAATGTGCACCACATAGCATGCTTGTCTTCACTGTTCAGACCTTGGAGCATAAGAATTGGGACATTATGTTGAGGGTGTACAGGACGTTGGTGAGGCCTCTGTTATGAAGCTGTGTAGAGTATTCATGAATTGGAGGGGATGGGGAGGGGACTTGTTGGGCCGAAGGGCCTATTTCCACACTTTAGGGGATTCTATGAAGTTTATATGTTATAGGGGATATCTAAGACAGGTTTTTTGAAGATCAGGGGAGAGCCAACTGCTAAGAGACAACCCCTTTTTTTTGCTCTCAGAGAAAGCACTGTCTAGTTAATACGGTCCCAAGGCATTTCTAGCTAAAAGTCCTCTCAGACACCATTGCAGAGAAAAACATTCCTGACGGCAGAATCAGCAGAAAGACATTGGCGACTTGAGATTGACAGAAGAAAGGCTGGAGAAAGCAGAGCATTCCAGAAGACAGTCCGTGTGAATTCAGAGAGATTAAGTTTTAATTTATTATTTTCTTATTAATTGGGTTTATATCAATGCGACTGTGTTTATTTGAACAGCATTCCAGTATTTAGTTCAGTTAGGGAGTAGTTAGTAGTCTAAGGGAGAATTGTTCCATTTGTTTGTAATTCTGTCGATTTGTTCATTGTTAGGGTTAAATGAATA